CCAAAAGCGTAATCTGTTTTCTTTTATATTTGCTGTCTGCGCAATGATCGAGGTGTAATGGAAAATGTGTTTATAAAACGATTGGTGGCAGTGCACAGATCTTTTCTCTACCTGCCCGCCCGAAGTGTAAAAATGTGGCACCAATTAATTATCGCACCATCTCAAAGTGTTTCGCTGCAAATAATAATGAAAATGAGAATATCTAGTTTTTAATTTTATGCGTACGTTTAGTGCGTGCAATTTTTGACGAAATCGCGTTGCTTTGCTTTGCTTTGCGACTTCACAACGTGACAAAATTTGTTAAACAACAGAACAACAGCAACAATAACTGCAAGCAAACATACATAAATATATGTAAATATGTATGTGTATACATGTATGTATATGTTGTATTTGTACGTAAGTATGCGAATATGTGGGCGGACATGTGCATAAAATGAATAGGAAAAGTTTACAATTAACTTAGCTGCCATGTTTTATGGCCCATTTCAAGTACCGTTAGTAAGATGTCCCTGCGTGAGTGTACTGCTGCGTGCGTACGCATGTCTGAGTAGGCACATATGCTACTCCATAAACACACATTCAGCCATAGACATATATATATAGATATGCAATTTGCCTAAATCTTTAAATGTATGCCAATTGGCTAAAGCCAAACTCAATTAGCTGTCGTTATCTTTGTCCTCTGAACATTCCAAGCCCCCCATCCAAGTTTCCCATTGACAATTATGCAATTGCACGTAGCAAACAACACCGCACTCGCATTTAATTTACATAAATTTCGCATGCAACGAGAAAATAATTGATAAGCGTCATAAGCACAACAATAACAATGTCAACAGTTGCTGCTGCTGCAGAGTAAACAGCTGAACAGCAAAAACAAAGCTCTTACAATGCAATTAATTTATTTATTTATTTTTTTTTTTTTTTTGTTCACTTTTAATGATTTTTGCGTGAGCCCCAAAATGAGTCAGTCTCAATAGCAAAAGGCGCGTGGCGGCGGGGCATGCCTATGTAGTGACGCGGGCAGCGACGTCGGCTGCGACGTCAGCGCCATAAGCATATGCGACTGACAGCGTGCCTTAAAATGTGAGCACAGAATGTGCGAGCGGGAGGTGGGTGGGCGAGGCGCAGAGCAGTGCGAGGGAGGCCGCTGTCAGACCCGTTTCGCTTGTGTTGTTGCTCGCAATATGCAAGCGTGCGTTTTGCATTCAGCGTCATCGCTATCGACGCAAAGTCGTTGTCAGCGTCAACGTCAACGTCGACGTCCCTGTCACTGACCACAGTCAACGGTACACACATTTATTGGCAGCTGTGCTGTTATGTTGTGCATTGCTGTTGTTTTTGTTATCAGAGCTTTGCGAATATGATGGATGGCGATGGCCGTTAGCCAAAGCGAGCCACCCGACAGATGGCATGGAAAGTTTGTGGCGCACTCGATGAGCGGCAGACGTTACTGTCATATCCTTATCACGTCTTAGACATTAAATTTAAATAAATTCCAATGCCTTTATAAATTAATAATGCTGATTAGAGAATGTGGGTTAAGAGATTATGCCGATTAAGCGGTTTTGCATGCTCACGCGTGAGCAGCATAAAAACTGTCCGCAAATTACCCGCAAATTGCTTTCTGAGGCACCCGCAGCTCCAACCAAGCCACCCACGAGTGGAGCACCTGTTATCGGTGCGCGGTGACGTGGTCGCATGTACGTTTAATTAAATTCCGTATGTAGATGGATTTTCAATCAGTCACATGGCCCCTTATCACTTGCTAAATGCAAAACAGGCCCGGACACTATCTGAAGCCCTCTTGTTGTGGCCTGTGGCCTGTAGCATGTGTCATGTGGCATGTGGTGTATAGTTTGTGGCGCGTTGCATGTGGCCAGTGTATGTACAACATGTCGAAGTCGCCGAGTCAACAAACGTTGCACTGCCCTTGGCCCCGCCCATTAGAAGTAAACATATGTCGGCAACAAGCAACAAGAGTGGCCCAGTTTTAGTGAAGAAAGTGGGGTGCAGGTGCGTACATGAGTCGGCGGCTGTTTAAGTAACATCCCATAAAAATGTTGACAGCGAATTAACATAACCATAAAAGTAATTCGTGCACAGGCGATAAGGCACACACCCGACTAAGCAATACAGGTGTGAGAACCTGTTAATTGCCGCCTGCTTACAGATAAATCATGTCGTTTCCATGGAAAACAATATTAATCCATAATTAAATTTCATTCAAAATGAATCAACGCAAATATGTGAAAAGCAACGTCAATACCTTTTAATAAAATTTAATCTCCGACGAGAATTGTCAGCGTGTAAATAGTAAGTTAAAGTTACATCTTAAATGTTATTTTCTTCGATTCTCGCCTCTGTGGGAATAATAATAGATCCTAGAACAGATATATAGCTTTATACATATATGGGCAAACGAAAAAGATTGATTGACGGACAGACGACAGACAGATAGACACGGATTCTCTTAGTGTTTAGGGTATTTAAATAGTAATTCAATTCCATTATACCATCTAAAATATTCGCTATAGTTAATGTTATTTATGTTTATATCTGCGCTAAATGAGAGAAATTAATAAATGCGAATTTGGCATCACATCTGTGGACTGGAAACTTAATAGAGAGGTTGCTAAATGACTTCATTGGTCGGCCGAATTTCTATTCCTATCACTCAGAGGTTGAGTTTCAGCGCTAATTAACATTACAAAAGCAAAGCTGAAGAATCGCTCCTCGGTGGAAGCAGTGCGGTTCAAGTGTGCGTCTGTGTGAAATGGCAATATTTATGGTGCGGCAAAACAAAAAAAAATAAAACAATGGGCGAAACGGCAGAAATTACCAGGGATTCAGATTCCGTGTGGGGGTTAGAGCTGCGGCATCTAATGGCCCACCCAACGAGCACTGATTGGCTCATCGTGCTGTGGTCTGTGTGTGGGGGTACTTCTGTTTTACGAACCTCTAACTAAACGGAGACTTTAAGGCCAACTGACGCCGAATAGTCAAATAAAGACGTTAAGCCTTCGGCTAACACTCAGTCGAGCACCTCGCTGTGTGTTTAATGCCTGCTTGGCCCGATTCAGTTTCAGCTTTAAGTCCTTAACTATGCCTTCACACAACCATCCACATGTGCGCACACTCACACATGTATGTAATATGTATCTATGTGTGAGGGCAATGGATGTCGATGAATTTTATTGTGCTCTGCGGCGCTCAGAGCAAACGCTACGAAAATCGCAATTAACGGTTTATTTCATTTCTACCTTTCGGCATATCAAATTAATAATGTACTATGAAACGAGCCATAAACAAGTCAACCGGAGTTTCTGTAGGAGGCAAATGCTCAAATTCCAGTCATAAACTTCGTAAAATATTATAAAATAATTTATATAGTTTTCAATCTATAGTAGATCCCCACTGCACATTCAGTTACATTCGCACAGGCGGACAGGCAGACTTATATGAGCAAATTTATAAGGTTATAGCGTCATTGGGCTATGACGACGGTTCCTTGAACGCTTACTGTATACAATATATTCCACAGGGCTGCCACGCCGTCTTCTAACCTCCATTTTCACGCTGAGTTATAATAATGAGACTAATCTCTAACTGAGATACAAATAAAATATTGAGATACAATAAAAAATAAAATAAAACTGTAAATGGTTCCAGGAGTGCTTTTAGATTGAGCTAAATACTTGAGAGACCCAAATCTACTAGATGATTCAAAGGGATATTAAATGTTCAGAACATAATATATATTATGTTGGAATATTTCTCAGTTAAATAAAAATGAAAATATACAATTGAACTGCGATTTCAAGAACGTAGTAAGATTTGAACCCAGTATTAAAAACGACCAAATTTATGTGCATAAAATATCCATTAAATTAAAGAATAACGAAAATTTTTGGGACTCTAGCACTTGGGATGCATGTAGATATAATTTTCTAACTTAATGTTGTAAAGGGTCTTAACAGATAACAATAATGACCGTCGCTTATCGATCATCGAGTATCGACTGTAGACCTTTACTTAAAGACATTTATTATTTATTGTCCGAAATGGCGACCGACTAACGTTTTACTATCTGTCTATCGTAAATACTTAGTAATCGCAAAGTTTTCCGGGTTTATGAAATGATGTCAGGTATTTCTGCAAATTGACTCTGCTATAAAACACTTCGCCCTTGGCCCGTTTCCGCCGGCTGAGACATCCCGACCCGTGGAGATAAACTCATGTGCAGTGCAATTTAAAGGCAATTTGTGACAGTTTAGCTTAAGTTTGACTTTCAGCTGACACGCACGCAGGGGCCGACACTGTGGGCGTGCCGGTTGGCATTTGCTTGCTGTGCAAGGACAAAGGACGAGTCGCGCCCGCTTGCTCATTCCAAGCAGTCGACCCCTTTCAGGAATGACTCGAGACATAGCAGCACAATGGAATGCCATCCTAATGTATCGTAAAAATGCACTATGACGGCAACAATACGTAAAGATATTGCACTTGGGTGCGACCGACTGTGCAGTCAGTAATCTTTCACAGTAAATGTAACCAAAAACGATGACAGAATAAAACAGAAACTCGACGTCTATTAGTTGACTTCGAAGTCAATAAATTTACAACTCGGCTCAAGTCGAAACAAATTTAACTTAAAAGGAATTCAAAGTCGTCCATTCAAGTATGGAACTGCTCATTAGGCTCACTTTGTTAGCAGTAATCTATGTACCATTATCTACAAAGAAAAATTCGAAACGCTGTCGAGCTTTGAACAAAGATGAAGCTGACAACTTTTTGAGAGATACACACAGACAATGACGACGAACGGGGCGTATACGCAATATGTGCGTCACGTACATCAAACTTTGAGCCACAGGCTCTAAAATTGATTTTGAAGTAATGAATGCGTTGGGCGCTTGACACCCATCGGCACAAATGGTGCGAACTGGCTGGCTGGCAATAGAGCGCCTGGAGCCTGTGATTAATGACCAAGGAAGTCGTTCACTCATTTATACTATGGGGTGCTCTTTATTGTGATGTGCCCTACAAGAAGGAGATGTGGAAGGCGCCCTTTCCAAAAGGGGCGCTACTTCGTGTCTCTAGATAATAAATGCCCGAGGCACCTTCGCCCATGCGAAGCATGGTCCAGCGGCAGCTGCTGGCACTCAGTTGCTCCTCCGACACGCAGTGGGCGCAAAGCAGGTTGTTCACCGGTGACCACATCTCGGCGGCTAACTCGAGGGCTCGCTCGTGCGAGCAGGAGTCAGGGTCTGCCGCCTCCTTGCAGCCGGGTTGCTGCTGCCCACCATTTGGATAGTAGTCCACATCGCCCAATCGCGCCATCGTGCCCAGTCCCTGGCCATTGGTGTGAATCACCTCCACGTGTACGGCGTCCTGAGTCGACAGCTTATGCTCTAGTGCATCTATGGCGTCAGGTGGATCGAGTGCTGTGATGTGTGGCAAAGGGTCGCCGAGCTGCCGCTGCACGAGATAAGCTACGGAGCCAGCCAAGTGCGCACCCGCCCCAAAACCCACCAGCTGCTGCTGCTTGAGCGGAACATTAAACTGGCAGTGCAGCATGATCAACAAGCCACTCACACTGTCCACAATCTCTGAGTTGCTTTGCTGCTCGTCCGGGTGCACAGCGAAGACATTGCAAGGCTCCCGCTCGAGCAGGGCCGCAATGAGTTTCAAGTGCTCAGCGCCTTCGCCGGGGATGCGAGGTATGTAGACTCTGTAGCCGGAGTGGACAGTCAGATGGGATTATTGATTAGATTCGGATGACTCACACAATTGGATCCAAGGCATAGAACGAAGAGCGCAGTAGCGACTCCACCTCTGGCCTAACACGTTGAGGCGTGCTTCCATTGCGACGTGTGTAGAGCAGATATTCTGGAGCTGCATCAACTGCAAAATAAATTGTTGCCAGAATTGGTCTGTTGCACTCCTGCAGTTGCTTTACTTACCCGCAGCCAGAAGAAGGCAGCCAAGCAGTACCTCAATGAACAGCATTTTCCACTCAACTGAAGCCTAAATCCAGCCCTTGGCAAGGTACCGAGCATTATTGATTACAGATAGCAAATGCTGATTAGATTAGAATATCGATAAGCGCGAATAATCAAAATACCTTCGGAATGATTCCAGTCCGTATACGATACATTAAAGCCTGCTCTCTGGCATAGTGGCGACAGTAATTTATGAGTCTTGTTGCAGCCAAGTCGAATTAATCGGATAGCTGCAAACAAATTGCATTTAATTGCTTGACAGATCAAGTTCATACCCTGTCGAACTCAGCCGCCACTTGTCCGCTCAGCTACTTGACCGTAAAGCAGTTTACTCGTTAATAGCTGACAGCTCGAGGTGGTCCCGCACCTGGCAAGGGTAGAGGCGCTGCTACTTCTGGCATTGCATGCATTGCTGTCAGCCAGACAGACATTGCACAGCTACTGACACTCCCACATGGCCTATACAAGATATCGACCCCGTTTGATGGGCAGTTGTCTTTATTAGGCTCCACAACTAAGCTGTGTGTGCTTAAAAATTCATTTGTCGCTCATAGACTCCAATAATCCGGCAGTTTGAGAACAAAGTGTTGGCTGTGCACTCGAGCCAGCGTTAACGGAGCAGATAAATTGCTTGCGAAATTGCCTGTCAAGTGCACGCGGCAACAATTAACCAAACGCCATGGATCCGGCATCCATTTACTAACTAAGCTCCAAGCGCTCCAAGCTCTTCGTGCCGGCTCAGTGAACACGTCAAGCGCTTGAGGCACACGCTGGATTTATGGACTAGCGTCTGTTATTAAATAATACCGACCCATTTATAACCAGTCGTAACGCTGAGTACAGCGTTTGGCGAGGGATTATCTTCCTACTCGCATCATATATGGCGAAAGAGTGGTCCAGACGGACGGAATACTCTGGACTCTGCGACCCAACCCAACATACTGTGCGGTGTGTGAGCTTAGATCAACTTTCTTATGGAAAAACGATTTAGATACTTGTTTGCCAATGTCTATGTTTATGTTTATCTGTCATTGTATTCATGCTATGTTAAAAAGGAAATCAAAGCATCAATCAATATCATATAGGATGAGCTATTACCAAATAACAATAGAGTCAATATTCATACTCGTATAAACGTCAAGTAAAACGAACTTGGGCACATCCACTCTACCTGTTGCATACGCTTTTATTAAACAGGTCTTTCTGTCATGCCATCGGCTAAGCGTTTATCTTTCAACTGTAAATATTGAGTATTTGCAAATAAGTAATTTTACTACAAGGTAGTGTATATATCTATGTATGTATATGTAAAGCAGAAGGATCCATATATAATGAAACACTTCTGTGGAAATGATTCTATGATATATGTTCTTATTTATCTATGTAGAAGTTAAATTGACTCAACATCTAGTCGTACTGCTTACTGCGCAGTTAGCAGAGTGCGTGATTATACGTGCGTGTGCATAAAAGAAGTGCAGAATGAGCAGAATATCAGCTTAGAGGGTTCAGGGTATCTCCTAGTCGAGCAGTCTCGATTGGAGCATTCTGACTTGTTTTTCCTAGGTCCGAACTGTAAGTGTAGACTTATATGTACTTTATGTACTTTAGATTTTTGTTGTAATTTAGCCCCCACCCCTGTATCCACCCCCTCACCCACATATTTGTAAAATGCGTATTTTAAATACTAGAAACTACACGATTTACAAGTTTCTTGGAGACAAAAAAGTTATTAAACAATTAAGTTCCCATAGTAAGCCCACACTGCAGCCAATGCGTGTTTATGCTTGCATCCCTATGTTATTCGTTGTGTATAAGCAGAGAGACGCGAATAATTATTTAAAATATCAATTCTTAGAAGGGTTCAGGGGATTTCGTAGTCGAGCAGTCTTGACTAGAGCTTTCTTACTAGTTTTTTCTTAAAGCAGCATAAATGTCTTTAAAAATTGTTGAAGCTGATAGCATTTTGACCCTGAATAACGGTTATGCAGTCGAAATTTTCAAAAACGTCTGACTGAAAAATTCTTATTTATTTCCAACTTGAATGCCACAAGACCTGGAGATTTCTCCATTCCATACAAACTTGAGAAGCGTAACTATTATGATCTCATTATTTCTTCTATGTATGTACGTTCGCGAGGACAACATAAACTAAAAAGATATGGCGTCTATCTACTCCCATTGGGATGTAGATAATCGGGTAAAACTGTATCGTATACATGGAGCTAGAAACTCAAAACTGCTGAATTACTGTGGATTTGATTTGATTGAACAAAAATAATCTACATGTATATATATACGGATTCGGCGTGTCAATTCGTTAAAACGTTTGAGTAGTGAATGAGTATTCAGCAATGGGTAACGCCCGACAGCAAAGGTCCTGCTTTTCTTTTTCAAAAGTTAAATTAATATGGTATTCATAAAATTATCTTGTCTAGACATAAAACAGTTAGCAGACGTTACTTTTATGTACGAGTGATTCATTATCTTTTAAACGTGGTTAATTTTGCTATTTATTTAACTCGAAATGTGCCCAAGTCGACGTGTGAATGCATTTGGCATCTACTTAGTAGATGGCGTCAAACGAATTCCATTACTCAAATATGATGCGCAGAATGCGCGGAATGCGTAAAACGGGATGTGAAAGAACGTGATACCAGACTAAGACCCTTGTGTGGGGCTTGTGTAGGTAATTGTGATGTGATAATGCGGAATTGTAATAAGCCAAGCGAGGGACGTGTTACACTTGCTATGGGCGGATGCAGCCAATCAGAGCTGCAGGAACGGGAACTAAAGGGTGATCAAATACCCCGCTTGTGCAAACCTTGAAGTGTTTGAAAGCGATTCAATATAATAAATTACTCTGAGAACTGCGATAGCTGCAGGCAATGGAATGGCTTTGCAAATATCGCACATACGCAGCGTAAGCCACCCCACAGAAAAGTCGCAAAACAAAAAGCCAAACAAAAGTGGGAAAGAGCTTATGAAGAAAACAATCAGAAAAGTTCCCGACTAAGAAAACCCCAAACATAGAAATTTTGCGGGTTTGAGTTACCATCATCGATTCCACATTGTCTTTTTCAGTGGTAACAAGAAATCATTTTTTATGCCCCCGAAGTTGTGAGGGATGTTGGAGAGACGATTGATGAGGCGTGAGGGAGTTCGAGTTGGCAATTTATGCTCCATGCCCACACAAGTGGAAGCAGTAATTTAATCGTTTCCATCAATCAATTAGTGTTTAAGATATGTGGGAGCTACATATATGGGAAACTTATCCAAGCAAATACCAGCTCTCAGTTTAATGGGAACAAAACCATATCACAACAAGTAAGAAGGCTCCAGCCAAGACTGCTCGACTGGGAGATACCCTGACCGCTCTAAGCTGATATTCTACTCATTCTGCACTTCTTTTATGCACACATGCATACACACTCCACCACACACACGCGCTCTGCTGACTGCGCAGTAAGCAGCGACTGCGCTTGGGTTGCGCTGCAGTGTGGGAAATATTATAAGAATTTATTAGTTGAATAATTTCTCTTGTAGTAAGACTATCTTTATGAAACTTTCAGAGCGTGATTATATGGTTAAAATGTGTATACATTTCAAAGCTATTCCAAATATGTTTTTTACAAATTGTGGGCGAGGGGCGTGGTATCGAAAATCTGTAAATTACAAAATCTTTGTATCCATTAACTTTATATGCAACGCAAGTGAAGTCTCCAGGTCTAAAAAAAATGTTCAAATTAGGCTGAAAAAACATAGTCGATTTTTCGATTATTCTCGATAAAAAAGTTATCGGACGATTTATCGAAAAAATAAAGCAAACTCGTACTGCGTATGGTACACACGAGTATGCATGCCAAATTTCAGCTCTCTAGCTCTTATATCTTCTGAGATCCTTTTGCTCATACGGACGGGCGGACGGACGGACAGACGGACAGGGCTATATCGACTCAGCTCGTCGTCCTGATCAAGAATATATATACTTTATGGGGTCTGCGATGATTCCTTCTGCCTGTTACATACTTTTCACAAAACCATTATACCCTGATTTCCCATTTTCAAGGGTATATAAACAAGTAAGAAAGCTCTAGTCAAGACTGCTCGACTACGAAATCCCCTGAACCCTTCGAAGAATTGATATTTCACAATAACTCTTCGCGTCTTTCTGCTTACACAATAAACACACACACACACCGAAAAACACGGGCACGCAAGCATGAACACGCATTGGCTGCAGTGTGGGCTTAATTTAATTGCTGAATAACTTTTCTTTTTGATTGACTACGCTCATGAATCTTTCAGATTCATAACATTAAAGTGCGTGTCATGTGCTTTGGCACAGTACAGTTACAGTATTTGAAATACTCCTTTTACAAATATGTTGGTGAAGGGGTGGATATAGTGGTGAGGGGTAAATTACAAAAAAAAAAATCCAAATTCGATTTCTGGAGAAAAATTCGAAATGCGCATGATATACACGGACGTAGGAAAAAAAATTTTTCTGAGATCGACGCGTTAATATATACAGACGGACGGACGGACGGACAGACGGACAAGGCCAAATCGACTCAGCTCGTCGCTCTGATCAAGAATATATATACTTTGTGGGGTCTGCACGCCTCCTTCTGCCTGTTACTTTTAACAAAACCATTATACCCTGATTTCCCATTTTCAATGGGTTCAGGGTATAAAAAAACAACTAAGAGATCCCAGAGCCCGGCAACTACGCTTGGGCTGGGCATGTGGGAAATTAATTGCTCATTTACTTTTCTTGTGAATGGAATTTCTTAATCAACTTTAAAGAGCATTTATATGTATTTATTTGTCAACGTACAAAGTGTCAACTCGATTGAGCCAATCCCCCACAAGGCAGCAATCTTGTAAGCAGCCATATGGTTATGTTGTTTGGTTAGTGTATGCCATACGCATTATCGATAGCTCATCGTATTTACTCAATATCAATCAGTATTCATAATTTTAAGTCGTTTTTTAAGCTTAGGTTGATTTACTGTGATTGATACCATGCCCCTTTCCTCCAAATTATGGTATAATAACACTGTAGACTGTGCTTTGGTAAACACGAAAATATTAATGCCATTAGTACGCTCTGAAAGTTTGACCAAGGGCAGACGATACGTAAGCTGCGCAGTTAGCAGTGCGTGTGCTTATGTGTAAGTGTGTATGCGCGTGTGTGTTATTTACTATATATGTATGTATGTCTAAGCATAGAATTATTGGAGACTTTGTAGACCATAGGCTTATTTTGTTAAATATCGCACCCTCGGGAGAGTAGGCAGACTGATGATTCAATAGAGATCTTAATAAAATAATTATAACTTCATTAACACTCAACGTGACGGCCACAAAATGTGCAGCTCATGTATTTTACCTTAGAAGCAATATTAAATAAGAAGAAACAGGATAAGCGTATGAAGTGTGTTAATCTCGTCCACAGAAATACGGGTAGGAGGAGTGGGACGGCCATCGAGTGAATGTCGTTACAACTAGAGGGCAACGGAGCTGTTGCCGCAGCTGTGAATTCAACAAAAATGGTGCGACCCGCCAAAGAGCCTTGACTTATCGTAGCACTGCCAGCAGAGGAGCTACTGCCATCCAAGTGCAATTAAATTAAACGAAGCGACTACTTTCTCAAAGAACTGCCTGACGCCCTACGCAACCCTCGTGGCACGTGATGAGTTGTACCCGTATTGCTTTCCCTCCGAGCAGTCAATACCTTCTACGCTACTCCGGGCTGCTTTTCCTCCTGCTCTGCGTATACCAGTGCCCCGGTTGCTATGGGGAGGTCTTTACCTTGGGTTATCTTACGGGCTCCCAACGTCGACCGGGAAACCTGGACTACCAGCGGCCAGGCATCACGATTTCGGGTGCTATATCGCTCGCGGTGGAGCAGATCAACGCCGGGAAATTGGGTGACCTGGGCCACTCGCTCGAGTTCGTTGTAGCGGAGACCTATGGGGACGAGGTCGCCAGCATACGACAAACGGCGGCATTGTGGACGCAGCAGGTGGCTGCTTATATTGGACCACAGGAGACTTGCGTTCACGAGGGGCGCATGGCAGCTGCCTTTAATCTGCCAATGATATCTTATGTAGGTGCCAATCTATAGCTCACAATGTCTCTTAACTATTAACAATTCCCACCCGAATAATGACAGTACTGCACACATAGAGATCCGTCGAACAAGCTGGATTTTCCGACGTTTGCAAGGACCCGACCTCCGGACACGCAGATCTCGAAATCCGTGGTGGCTCTGCTGTTGGCCTTCAACTGGACACAGGTGAGTTTCCTGTACCTGGACGATACCAGCAGTCAGTACCAGCCCGTGGCGGAGACCATACTCGCTACACTCAGCGGCGCAGGTGTAGTTGTGCGGGATATTCGTACGTGGAGCACGATTTACCATCACGGCTTTATGGCCAATCCGTTTGATAAGCTGGTGGAGGAAACCCATGCGAATACTCGTAGTAAGTATTGGCATACGTAGATTGTAATAGGATGTCCTGATGCACTTTGTTCGTAGTTTACCTAGTTCTTGGACACTACTATGAGCACGTGGGTCTCATGGTCAGCCTGCAGCAGAGAGGTCTACTTTCTCGTGGAGACTATTTTGTGGTTGGCATCGATATTGAGCAGTATGACCCAGTCAAGCCAGAAAAGTATCTGCGAGGCCTTCTGATGGAGAAAGTGGAGCCGTTGGCGGCGCAGGCGTTTCAGTCCTATCTCGGGATTGTTCCCACAGCGCCTGTTTCCTTCGCCACATTCGCCAATGAGGTATGTTCACCGGGCACGCCCTGGTTAATGCGGTACACCCTTTCCTAATAATACTGCCTTTTCCCTCCCCACTATCAAACATTTGTTTTTGTCGTGTTTTTTGCGTGCTCTGTGAAGGTTAACAAATACATGGAGCGACCGCCATTCAATTTCCCCAACCCATTGGGTCTCTTCGGTGGCGCGAAGCAGGTTAGTCCGAGTCCTCCTCTGTTATCTCCATGCCCGTTCACAAACTATTATTGCAATTCACCCCAAGATAAGCGCTGAGGCAGCCTATCTCTATGATGCCGTTCATCTCTACGCTAATGCATTGATGTCCGTCTTAAAGTCCGGTGGCAGACCTAGGAACGGCAGTCTTATTGTGTCGGCTATCAAAGGCTCGCGCTATCTGAGCGCCATGGGGTGAGTATCCCAGCAAGCGAGACAGAATTTCCACTGACCCTCTTTGCGCACGATGCACAGCTATCATGTGTACATAGATGAAAATGGAGACGCTGCTGGCAACTACACAGTATTAGCGAGAGGAGCATTCCGCAACAGCCGCAACCAGACGGCTCTGGGTCTCCTTCCCGTAGGCACCTTCAGCCATAAGACTAGTAACAGAACCAGTGAGGCTTTGCCGGTAAGTAATCCTACATCCTTGGTGGTATTTTTTATAAAAAGAAACATTGCCCTTTCACACTTGCCGTCCAGGAGCAGGTAAGCGCTTTTGGCATAGCAAAGACCCATTAAAACACTGGTCCTTCTCTAAGGCTAATAATACTTCATTTATAACTCTACAGGACTTGAACTTGTATCGCAGCATCGATTGGGTTGGTGGTTTGCGGCCTGCGGCTGCTCCGCGTTGTGGTTTCGGTGGCGAGAAGTGCGTCAGTAAGTTACTTACATTTCAAATCATCCTTACATTTCCTAATCCCTCGTTTCTATGAACTGAACCCATTAACAATTCGAATTCAGAATATACAATAGACTCTTTATATCTATGTTTCTCTGTCCCGTCTGTTGTCCTTCCTTCCCTGTCTGTCTTTCTTTCCATATTAGATCATTATCAAGAAAGGCCAACTAGAAGAGGATTTTTTAAATAATTGAGTTCCCAGAGAATTGCCCATTCTGCAATACATGCGTATTCGGTGCGTTAACCACGCAGTAATCAGCGTATAATGATTGAAATATCAGCTCTTCATTGGGCTCAGAATATCTCCTAGTTGCAAAATATCAACTCAAGCAAGCTTATTTATTTTCATTTCTAAATTTTAGATTATACTGGCGAAATATCGGCGGGCATCGCTGGCGGCGCTCTTCTGTTGTTGGGCGTTGTCTCGTTAGTTCTTTATCGCAACTGGAGGTACGAACAGGAGTTGGACAGCCTCCTCTGGAAAATTGACTTTCGCGAGGTTCAGGTTCACGACAATGAGCGCGAACAGCAAACCCAAAAGGCTACACGAGTAAGTTGTGATTGGCTACCTAATTAAGGTACATGACATATATTTAGAAGATTAGAGCTTTTTGAGCAGTTTAATATTATTCTTATTGCCTTATTTTAGCTAAATATGTTTGCACAAATTTATATATTGTCCGTGTATTTTCTCATTTCGATGGCACTCAGTGTTTAAGCGATATTCTGGTATTTCATGTTTGACAGAATCTCATAAATCAATTGCCACGTCGTCTTCCTCCGCAGTCAACCCATCCCCTTATCCGCACCAGCCAGGTGAGCCTGAGCTCCAACCCCGACGCCGACTTTCGCTATACGACTATCTTCACGCCCATCGGACTGTACAAGGGCCAGCTCTATTCAATCAAGAAGGTTCGCAAGAAGAGTGTGGACATCACTCGGGAAATGAAGAAGGAATTGAAGCTTGTAAGCAAATGAATCTCCAAAGCTATGGCAGTCCTAATTTCATTCACATTCGCAAATAGCTGAGGGACGCACGTCATGACAATATTTGCGCTTTTATCGGTGCCTGCACGGAACCCCCCAACATCTGCATCATCAGCGAATATTGCACTCGTGGCAGTCTTAAGGTCRGTCATCTGCTGCTGCTGAATCTATGGCGACAGCCCAGACTAACCACCCTTCATATTTATAGGATATACTGGAGAACGAGGACGTCAAATTGGACAACATGTTCATTGCCTCCATGGTGGCGGACATTATACGCGTGAGTGCTGCTGTGTAACATTATACTAATGGCATCTCCTCCCGCTGATTCTTGTGTTCGTATCTGACCCCAGCATTCTGACTTCCGCAGGGCGTCATCTACTTGCACGAGTCGCCCATTCGCTTCCACGGGTCGCTGTGCACGTCCAACTGCCTCGTAGACTCGCGATGGGTGGTCAAGTTGACGGACTTTGGCTTGTTTGCTTTCAAGCAGGGCATCGAAGACAGCTCCACGGACATGCAACATATGTCGGCTAAGTGCCTCAGTGAGTCTTTTGCCTTAATTGTTACAGTTGATATAGTTACGGATTTCTTACAGAGCTGCTCTATCGAGCGCCAGAACTTTTAAGGCAGGGGCCCTCATCGATGGTTATGGGCACACAGCGCGGAGATGCGTATTCGTTTGCTATATTGCTGTACGAGATGCATGTGCGGCGAGGCCCGTTCGGGGAGACGGGTTTGACGCCTATGCAGTGCTTGCAGAAAGTCATGCAGCCACAGGATCAACTCCATCCCTACCGCCCATCGCTGCAGCCCCTCGAAACCGCCTTCGATTGCGTCAGCGAGTGCTTACGGGAGTGCTGGGCCGAGCGGCCCGAGGATCGACCGGAGTTTAAGGCCATACGCACCAAACTAAGGCCCCTACGCAAGGGAATGAGACCGAACATCTTTGACAATATGATGGCTATGATGGAAAAGTACGCCAACAATTTGGAGGCGCTCGTGGACGATCGCACGGATCAGCTGCAAGAAGAAAAGAAAAAGACTGATGCCCTGTTACATGAGATGTTGCCACGCTGCGTGGCCGACCAGCTGAAGAAGGGCCACAAAGTGGACCCCGAGCACTATGAACAAGTAACCATCTATTTCAGCGATATTGTCGGGTTCACGGCCATGTCGGCGGAGAGCTCGCCCCTTCAGGTGGTGGACTTCCTCAATGATCTGTACACCTGCTTCGACTCCATCATTGGATATTACGATGTGTACAAAGTGAGTTTCCTTGCATAAAGGAATGTTAAATATTTAAAGGCTTCATTCTTCGAAACAGGTGGAAACCATCGGCGATGCCTATATGGTCGTATCTGGGCTGCCTTTGCGCAACGGTGATCTGCATGCCGCAGAGATCGCCACAATGTCTTTGCACCTGCTCAGCGCCGTGTCTGAATTCAAGATTCGTCATCGGCCCACCAATCGGCTACTACTTCGCATCGGCATACACTCAGGTCCCGTATGCGCAGGTGTTGTGGGCCTTAAGATGCCCCGATATTGCCTGTTTGGGGACACGGTCAACACGGCGTCGCGCATGGAGTCAAGCGGAGTGCCGCTGAAAATCCACTGCAGCTGGCAGTGCCGGCAGCTGCTGGACCGATTGGGTGGCTATCATTACCAAGAGCGCGGCATAATCTCAATGAAAGGTAAGGGCGAGCAGCGCACCTACTGGCTGATGGGTGAGGACGAAGAGGCGCGCGTGCGTCGCACCTATGAGCGATCCCAGCGGCGTGGCTCGCGAGCGCTGAACAAGTTCATCCAAGGCACCATCAAACAAGCCCAGGAGCAGGCCAATGAATGCGGCATACGGTCCTCTTTGAAGCAGAAAAGCCTTCCACGGAACTCGCTTACTCGATCCTCTAGTCTCGAGTCTCCAAAGAAGCTGCGCTTCGCAGCTGGCAATATGCTGGAGCATCATCGTTATCATAGGTTTGCTTTGATTTTAGCTTCATTATGACGGAGCGTAATTAATCAGGTTCTTCCTCTTTTCAGTGACGAAGCCCTATTGGAGGTGGACTCCTACACTGGCTTGCGGCGCTCATCCGGCGGCTCCACACACTCACGCCAGGAGGAGTCGACGCTATCCTGCCAAAGTATCGAACACCTCGAAACGCAGGAGCAGGAGCAGCAGCAGCAGCAGCAAAAGAAAAGGCCTTTCTCCTATCCGACGGTCAATACGCCTCTGCTCTTAAATCATGTCGAGGTTTAGATTAGAATGAAGCTCATTTAGCAAAATTTAAGATTATGAGAAGCATTATAGTGGTGTTCAGCTCTTGTCAGTTGCTTTAAGTGTTGTTAGAGGGTGCATAAGGCCCCTACATACGTATGTAATTGAATATATATATTCTCTATTACGAGCCAATCCCATATCTCAAGCCGAACTAGCTCGGCGTAGTTCTTTGCTATATATGTGTGTGTAATAGTATCAGCATATTGTGAGAGTGATTACAAATCTAGTCGTTGTATACAACATGAATACAATAGTTTAGACAGTAGCTTAGATTTAGATTGAAAAGAATAATTAGTAGTAGTAGTAGTAGTAATTAGTACGCTTATATAGGTGAAGATTTGGCAGCCGTTTTTTCATAATTTGTGTTTTTATTTGGAATTTCTTGTTGTCTTGAAGACACACTTTCTATTGTTATATTTATATTGCGTGTAGTTTTATAGTAGTATATGTAATTTATTCAAACTTAACGTGTTTTACATTTGAGTTTAAAACCAATTTGTGCATTTTTCTCGGAACGTCCTTAACATATAATTCTCCCCTCTCTTTTAACTCTAAAGTCTTGCGAAAGCCAGCTTGCAAAAGTTTCGAATTGCTTGTAAATAAGTATGTATTTTATATATGTACATACATATATATAAATACAATACATAAACTCTAATAGGGAATTTCAATTTCAATTTGATTGCTTTTGTTTGAACTTAATTTAGCTAGGTTTATATTTATATATATATGTAATTCTATGTATTTGTGTACCTTAAGTTTGTTTCCTTTCATTAAGTTGATAAGCCACAAGCTTTAAAGCGCACTTCAACGCGTAACATTTAATTTTGTAATTTGTTGTGTTCAATGTCACAAATGTATTGTATGCGTGTGCTCTGTTTTTGGTGGTTTTAATAAAACACAATTCAACAAGTTACTAAATAACAATATCTGCGATTCATCCTAGACATGAGTCGTATTTGTATATATATATAATCGGGCTTTTTTGGTTTTCCTATCAAAATGCTTGCAACAACAAATCTACTCAAAATATGCATTTAAAGTTTTGCAAATCTGTATATGTATATGTATATGTATATGCAATATATATAAATATGTTTATATTGTATAATAATGTATGTCTCGATTATTGTTCGACTGCCAGGAGCATTTCGACTCGGTACAAAACTAGCAAATGGACCAGTGCCCACCTCTTCGCTTGGAGCACTGTTTTCAAGTTTCTTTATAAATATAATTATACATATAACGTTAATTCGCAAATATATATTTTTACATATATTTTTTAAATGCCTCTCTTAAAAAATAGTGTCAACAATTTTACAAATATGTAAGGTTTCCTCCTGCTACAAGTTTTGATTATTTCGATTTGCACTCAATTGACGAATGCTGCTAAATATATATCAACAATTCTAAGCTTAAGCGATTTTCAAGTTTCCAATAGCTTGCTAATATTTCATGGACGATAGATGAACCCTATAAAGTACCTCACCAAAATCTGATAGAGAGAGCATGTTAGATTTTACCTTCATTCTGATTAATTAGACTAGAGCGCCATGAATGAAAGGTCAATGTAATACGAGCCTCGGCTCCCTTCAACTCACACAACATAAAACGTAAGACTAACATCTTGGATTGCTTAACATCTGGTGAGGTTCATAAGGAGCATAGTAAATATCTAATACTTTAATTGTGCAAAATTAAGGCTGCTTCCGAATTAGTCGCATTATTAAGCCTACAAAAAGGTATAGGGGCACCTACAGATGTAGATGTGTGAAAAAACGGCAAGAGATCGGCGTTCATCCCTTGTAGACCTGAGTCTAAGTGATAATCGTAGGAAGTGATCCTCAATAGGTTTCGCTGAAGTTAGCGCGCAAATAGATTACAAACGTGTGGGCAGGTTCTGCTGTATACAAATATTCGAGAGCGGAGCTTGATGAGAGTAGCCGGCTTCACCTGGACTTTTTTGCCAAGCTAGTCGATCTGTGGGGCAGAGGAGAGGGGGATTACTTGGTTATCGACATGATTTCTGTTTATCTTACCTTCTGACACCATGCCGTGGGCTGGAGGGAGGGGTATGGCATGGAGAGGGCGGTGCCGAACCGCCCGATGAACCACGGGACGATGTTATCGATAACGTTGAAGCACGCGGCGCTGAACAACCCAAGTAGATAGCCGAGCCCTTGTCAACCTCGCGAAGATCGACCCGCGATCCGTGCACAGATGACGGCACCGAGCCTACAAATAATATATATTATGTATATATTAACAACTCATCAGCCCGATGATGATTTGAACGATCTGCTTACCCGTGTAGGCATGCAGACCCGCCGGACTGCTGCGGGGACGCACGCCAAAGCCGCTGACCGTGCTGGCGCTGCGCTGCAGATGCGCGGCACTGCCATTGCTGTCCTCAGCTTCCGGCTTCTCCCTTTGACTGCCCGCGCTGCTCACGCGCCCTGCTCCACTTATGGAGTTGACTCGCCCGCCTGACTTGTAGCTCTGGCGTGACGGAGACCGCTGGAGTTGAAGCTGCTGCTGACGCTGCTCGCGGCGAGCATCCTCAATGGCTGCTGCGTACTCGGCAGCTTCGCTGGAGGTAACTGGTTGCTGGGCGATCTCGTCCTCGGGGATGCGCTCGTTGCCAACGGAGCGACGCTGCAGAGGCGAGCGCTTTGGCGACGTGGGACACGACTGGGCTACGACGACAAGGCCTCCGGCAGCGCTGCTGACGCCCAAGGAGCTTGACGATGAGTTGCTGTTGGTGTTGGCATTAGAGGACTGGGCGCGCACCCTCGATTGCGTGCTGGAGGCACTCGACGGACGACGACGGAAAAGTCCTTTGGTGGGGTCCATGTTACAAACGCCTAATAAAAACAACAAATACAAAATACAAAGTGCATAACTTGAGTTACAAAAGGTTGGTCGAATATTTATTTAGCTAGTCTAGACTTCTAATATCGAAAGATTAGCGCTTGGTCTTTGATTTTTTAGGCAACCGCTTGCCCGGAGCACGGGCTTTTGGTTTTACGGGTGCGGCAGCTTTTTGGTCAGCCTCAAACTTCTTAGCCAGCCTTTTCATGTGCGCAGTACAGGAGCCGTGACGTTCATCTTCCTCAGCCTCCTCGTCCAGGTTGTTGACAAAGCGTCCAGCATTTACGTCTGCATTGTAGTAGATGACATTGGGCATAAGCTCCTCGCCAGAGCTGGAGCTGGATTCGTCGTTCGAGTCGTCCAAGTTTTTCTCGGACTCAGTCTCGAGCTCGCTCTCGAACTCATACACGGAGGTATCAGAGCTGCGCGTCTGATTAAAGGTTCTCTTCTTCCATTTGTCAACGACGAACCTTAGAGTGTAGGCCACGTTCCGCCCAAGTGAGGCGCGAGAGCCCTCCTGACCGCCAAAAGCAAGACCCCCAATTGTGTAAATGGGATTGACCGCACCTGTGGGACACTTTTCACCGCGAGAGCAGTTGCCCTCGCATATGTCTCTGTTCTGCAGCAGCTCTTGGTAGCTGTCCAGGGCGACGCTGCACTTCACCCGATCTAGTTGCTCCAGCGCCGACGACGGAAAGCGCTCCCTCAGACGCCGACGCTCCTCCGATAGTTTGAACTGCTCGAACTCCTGCAGCTGATTTTGAAAGCCCGTATTGGGATTGGCGACTGCGCGACCAGCGCGCACCACCTTCAAAGCCTCCTTCCAGTTCAAGTGCGTGGCGGTCATAATGTAGGCGACCGCAACAGTTACGGAGCGCGACATCCCAGCCAGACAGTGGATCAGCACGTTGCCCTCCCTTAGCCGGGCTGCGTGAATGAAGTCGTTGCACACGGAAAAGTACTGCGACAAATTTTGATCTGGAGTATCAGAAGCCATCACACACAGATAGTGCTTGTCCTAAATGGAGATAAGAGGGCATTAGTTCCAGACACCTTCTAAGGGAGTGGATGGACATACCGGCAAGAGGCGCCTGGGACTGTCATGTATGGCTATTATGTGAGTAATTTTGAACTTCTCCAGCTGCTGATAGTCTTTGGAGTCGCGGTAGTTGCCCACATATAGTCCCGGCAAGACCTGGCCAAATAAAGGAAAAGCTCTTTTAATAGTCCGCAGTTAGTTAATGAAAACATTTGGTTACATTTCCCATATGCCAATCCATCTTGATAATTCTGATTCAAAATATAGTATTGTCTACAGCATTAATACTTGATACATACAGTGAGATTTGTATATTTGAAAATACGAGTCTGTTTGTTTGTTATTTGCTGTTGCTACAGGCAACTGGCCTTGATGGCTATCTCAGGGTCGACTCTCTAGGTACGCAGGAAAAGTATATATTTAGAGAAAACCCAGTTCTCTGTTTAATACAAATTGGAATTGACCTCTCATACAAATGGGACCAATGTCTACTCTGATCCATGGCCTTAAAATAACCAACCACTTATAATAATGAAGGCAAGGCCCAAGGGGGCATTTTAAATATTTAAAACCTCTTTAATTTTCCTTTACCAATGAAAAGTTATCGAAAAGTTGAATGAACGCTTTTATCAATTGATATTGATTCTTCAATAATACATATTGCTGTCACTGGCCCGACTCACTCTTGACAATAT